CCCCCCGTGTCACTGTCACTGTCCCCTTGTCCCCACAGGGCCCCGCTGGCCCCGAAGGCCTGGACGGCAAGGACGGCAAGCCGGGTCTGCGGGTGAGATTCCAGAACATTCCGGGGTTTTGGGAGGGGACAACCAACCCCTCCCCCTCCCCAGGACACCCCAAACCCACAACTCTGTCTCCCCAGGGTGACCCCGGTCCCCCCGGGCCACCAGGGATGATGGGTCCCCCGGTGAGTGACCGCTGTCCTTGTCACCGCTCCCTGGTGCCCCACGGAGTGTCCCCAGAGCTGTGGGGACACTGTGCCACCAAATGTCCCTGGGGACACCAGGGCTGGTGGCCCTGGACCCCCACCCAGCTCTTTTCGYTCGCCAGGGCTTCAAGGGCAAGACGGGACACCCGGGGCTGCCGGGACCGAAGGTGGGTGACAGTGACACCGGGGGTGACATCCCCGGGGCTGGAGTGGCCTTGCTCTGCCCTGGAAGTGATTGTCCCTTTGTCCTTTTAGGGTGACTGCGGCAAACCCGGCCCCCCGGGGAGCACGGGCCGGCCGGGGGCGGAGGTGAGTGACCCCTGGGGTGAGTGACCACTGGGGGGAGTGACCCTGGGGTGAGTGACCACTGGGGTGGGTGACCCTTGGGGTGGGTGACCCTTGGGGTGAGGGACCACTGGGGTGAGTGACCACTGGGGTGGGTGACCCTTGGGGTGGGTGACCCTTGGGGTGGGTGACCCCTGGGGTGAGTGACCATTGGGGTGAGTGACCACTGGGGGGAGTGACCCCTGGGATGAGTGACCCTTGGGGGGAGTGACCCCTGGGGTGAGTGACCACTGGGGGGAGTGATCCATGGGGCGAGTGACCACTGGGGTGAGTGACCCTGGGGGGAGTGACCACTGGTGTGAGTGACCCTGGGGTGAGTGACCACTGGTGTGAGTGACCCTGGGGGGAGTGACCACTGGGGTGAGTGACCCTGGGGGGAGTGACCCATGGGGTGAGTGACCCGTGGGGTGAGTGACCCTTGGGGTGAGTGACCACTGCGGGGAGTGACCCCTGGGGGGAGTGACCACTGGGGGGAGTGACCCTGGGGTGAGTGACCACTGGGGGGAGTGACCCTTGGGGTGGGTGACCCCTGGGGTGAGTGACCCCTGGGGGGAGTGACCCTTGGGGTGGGTGACCACTGGGGTGAGGGACCACTGGGGGGAGTGACCCTTGGGGTGAGTGACCCTTGGGGTGAGTGACCCGTGGGGTGAGTGACCCCTGGGGTGAGTGACCCTGGGGGGAGTGATCCATGGGGTGAGTGACCACTGGGGTGAGTGACCCCTGGGGTGAGTGACCACTGGGGTGAGTGACCCCTGGGATGGGTGACCACTGGGGGAGTGACCCTTGGGGTGGGTGAACACTGTGCAGCCCGGTGTCACCAACCGGCCTTCCTTGTCACCACCCCACTATCCTTGTCACCACCCCACTATCCTTGCCACCGTCCCATTATCCCTGTCACCACCCTACTATCCTTGTCACCACC